TAGAGCACATGCGATTTCGAGAAGGTCAAGATACGCACTAACCATATTTAACAATAACCAAACACAAATTCCAAACAGGAATTCATACAATGGAGAATCTGTCTATCCTTTTTACTCACATTAATCCTAAGCACCGTTTGTCTCGCTCACACAGCTTAGAATTCGTCAAAACAAGGCGAGCAGGTGGTAAAGTAAAAATTTCAAGGGCGACAAATGTAGTTACCTAATAAAGACATGCAATGTTAAAAAAAAAACTATCTGCCAATAATTTTGTAATTTTGTAATGAAATCCCTACTTCTACACATTAACGGCTATAGCTCAGTAAGTAATGACATTAAGTACATGGTATGTTAATATAGAACCGTTCGAGATAGATTTTTTTTAGGGAATCGATGCCGATCGAACGCGTACGTACCAGATCCACCATTACTGGGACAACCTGTATATATGTATACGTACAAACATTCAAAAATAATATTTTACTTAATTTCTCGCATATATACTTACTTATCTTCACGCACAATCCCTGACGGGGTAGCCAGAGAGGACAGATCGCCAAGTGTCACGATCCTTACAAACCTCTTTCGCTTCTTTCAGATTCATTATCTTCTTCATGCATGCACGTCTAGGTATCCGAGTAATATTGACCCTACCCTCTTAGAGCAATTTGCTCACATGGTCTTCGAAAGTTAGTCTCGGTCTACCTCGACACCTTTTAATATTAACTTTCGCGCTATATATTTTCTTCACCATTCGGTCTTCACTCATTCGCTCAACGTGTCCAAACCACCGAAGCACGCCCTTATCAATTTTTGTGATAAGGTCATCTTTCAAACCTGCCATATTGCGAATCTCTTCGTTTCGCTTTCGATCGGCCATGGTAACGCCGCACATTTTACGAAGAGATCGCATCTCCACTGCATTCAACTTACTTTTATGCTTCTTTTGGCATACCCAGGTTTCGCTGCCATATAACAAAGTCGGTACCAACACTGCGTTATGTATTGCAAGGCGTGCACTCTTCGCTACGCCTTGCCTTTTGACTAACGCAGTCAGGGCACCATTGACTTTGTTCCCGGCAGCAACACGCCTGTCCACATCTAAATCACATCTTCCATCCCGGCTAAAAGCACTCTCCAAGTATACAATTTCATTTACCTGTTCTAGACATTCCTGATTTACCCATATTTCACACTTCGTTCTCTCTTCGTCCCTTTCAAATACCAGAACCTTAGTTTTATTAGCATTCAAACGGAGACCTTTAATTTTACATTCCTCTTTCATACACGTGACTAATGCTTGCAGTTCTGCCTCTGATGGTGCAATAAGCACTGCATCATCAGCGTACAGCAGACAATTTACTTTTATGTCACCCAATTTCACACCCAAACAGCTATCTTTCAGCTTCTGTAAACAGCTGTCGAGATACAGTATGAACAGCCAGGAAGACATGACACAACCCTGCTTTACGCCCGTTTGGACGTTAAACATGGGTGACAGGTCATACCCTACCCGCACACAGGCTTTACAGTCACAGTGAAGAGACTGCACAGCCCTTAGCAATCGACCATCCACACCATACCCCGGCAACAGTTCCCACATTTTCTTCCTTACAACCTTATCAAATGCTTTCTCAAGATCCACAAAAGCACAGAAAATCTTCTGGTTACAGGCAGAAGCTTTTCCGTGATCATGCGGAGAGAAAACATTTGATCCGTGCATCCTCTTCCAGGTCTAAATCCGCATTGTGCCTCCCATAGAAATCTTTCCGATTTCTCTTGCATCCTACGTGTCAAAACCTTCGAGTAAACTTTACTTGCTAAACTGGTCAAGCTGATCGCCCGATAGCACCCGCAGTCAAAATGTGAACCTTTACCTTTATATAAAGGCACAATGACTGCGGATCGCCAATCATCCGGGACATCCCCCGTTCGCCAGCACAAATTGCACAGCAGATGAAAGCTGTCCCAGACGCGAGGCCCACCATACTTGACCATTTCAGCAGTAACTCTGTCTAGTCCCGCAGCCTTACCACATTTCAAACTTCGAATCGCACGTTCAATCTTTTTCATACTGATGACCTCAGTGTCATCGAGGTCCGGGTCTGGCGTACCAGTCACGGCGTCATCCCCGGATCCCTCACTAAGATCATCACAGGCATACATTTCTCTATAAAATTCGCTCCATCGCTGCATGACGTCCGATTTTTCCGAGAGGACGTCATTAGTTCTCGAAAGCACTTTGTTCATTCTTAAGGCCGTCGCACCACTTCAGGTCCTTCCAACCTCTTTCCAGAAGAGTTTGGAGTTCTCCTTAAAGTTGTGCAACAACCTTTCGTCCGCTTCCATTCTACACCTTTCACGCACTTCCTCAATCAGTGCTTTCGTGTGAACTTTCTGCAGCCTATATCTTTCTCTCATCTTCTCTCTCATATTCTTATCATTACTAGAGGCCAAGTAGTCTAACCATGCTTTCTTCTTCTTCTTTACAGCCTCTTTTACTTCATCATTCCACCATGCATCTCTTCTTTTACTACTGCCTCTTTTATTGTTCCACACACTTCTTCCGCTGCACTTACCATTCCATCCCTAAGGTTCTGCCAAGTTCTTTCTACACATTCTTTTCTGCCATCGATGGTGTCAAGCTTTTCGGCTACCCTCGCATGATATTTGTCCCTAGTATCCGCTTCCTGAAGCTTCCAGCTTCGGATGCGACAGACCGACTGTGGTTCTGTTACTGCCGTCCGGTAGCGCCAACCCGCGAACAGACCCCTAAATCTAGTAATCACTAGATAGTGATCCGTTCCCAGGTCAGCACCCCTGAACACTCGCGTATCCATCACCTGTTTTCGCAGTCGGTCATCCACCAGGAACAAATCGATCATACTTCTCTCATTCTTTCGTTCTCTAGTATACATATGGATTTTCTTGTGATTAAACATAGTGTTTGTCACAAGAAGACCCTTTTCCTTGCACACCGCCAATATAAGCTTGCCAGCATTATTAACCCTTTTATCGCCAAACTTTCCAAGTACCGACTCGTACCCTGGTCGAGCGGTACCAACCCATCCATTCAGATCACCACATACAACAATTCTTTCGTTTCCCCTAGCCAAATCTAGAACTTCTCTTACATTCTCCCAAAACTCCTCCAGCCCAGCCCTGGACGACGAAGCTACCGGCGCATAAACAGCCAAAAGGAATAACTTCGTCAGTCCCAATTTAAAGCGAACCCAGAGAAGTTTTGAGTTCACAACCTTATATTCAGTCATAACATCGACCAACTGAGAAGACAGCAGCACCCCCACTCCCTGGCAGGCGTTCTCGCTCTCCGGGACTCCGGACCATAGAGCTAACGCCCCGCTAGCTCTTCAGTACCACTGCCTTTCCGTTTGGTCTCCGACATACACACGACATCTAATTCTCTTTCTTTCATTATTTCGATCAACTCATTCATCTTATCTCTCATGCCTCCTCTAACATTTCACGTGCCAACTCTGCACTCTGTCCTCCACCTTCCCCCGTGTCGGGCTGTGCGTGACGGGTGGCGGTCCCCACCGCCGCTTTGCGCGCTGCATTCCACACCAACGGGGACGAGCTGGTGTGCGTTGCCTTGGGGGGACGCCCTAACCCTCGTTGGCATGGGTGCGCAGCTGAGTAGAATTGCAGCCCTGAAAAGTGCTGGCAGGGGTCGCGACGAGCACGCTTCTACAATGACCCCCATATCGCATATATACATGCATTATATATTTACTACATTAATTTAAAGCCGTATATTCATCTATATTATATAATTTAGCATATACTTACCGCAATACATAATACACTGTCTACATACCCGCTCGCTCACAAACAAATTAAGATCAGTTTAATAAAACTACCTGATATTTCTGCGATAGATAAGTGCTTACGACGCCTTAATAAATTGTGTATTTGTTCGTCGCTCGCCAGTTTAATTGAAAACTTTACTTATAACCTGATTATTTAACCGCGTCGTCAAGATTATTGACAATTTACCAGCCGTTAATTTTCATCACGTCTCGGAATAGCTAACCCAGCTGATTGTTTATCAAGAGATCTTACACCCGAAAAACTAATGTGGGTGCTGTTGACACAGCACACACAGGCGTCACCCGTGTTAATGTATGTGTAATTCTTGCGAAATACGGTAACGACCGCCACACACGGGACTGCAGCCTGTAGGCGAATAACACATTTCCTTTGGAGTGAACTAAGCGAGCACGTGTCTCGGGTTCAATAAAATAAATCTACTTCAACCTGTTATGTGAACAATATAATAATTTTCCCCTCTACACATGCCTTTATGAACACCAGAACCACAGTAACACAACATTGGTGACCCCGACTTAGGCCTTGTGTAGGGGTGGAAGAGATACACGTCGTGCCGCGAAACTCCACGCCACGATGGATCAACCAACAACAACGGGCTCAGGAATTTGTGGCTAGCGCGACTGCCTGCATGGGTCCGCGCGATCTTGGCTACCAACAGAGCAGACGAAACTTGATGATCTCACTGAGATGGCAGTCAAGGTGATGGACAATCTACGCAACGGGGAGCTGGTGGCATTGGACGTTGGTTCAGCTCACAGTTACTCGTCGACCGCAACCGTGTCAGAAGTGAACGTCGAGTTACTGACCCAGATGAAGACCATGGCACTGGAGCTCAAGACACTGCGCAGTGATTTAAACACCATCAACAACCGCCGTCATAATGGTGGTAGGCGACGGTTATGTAACCGTTCTTGTTCGAGTCCCAGGTTCCGTACACCGCAACGAACGCCACGCAGTGAAAACTGTGTGTGTTGGTACCACTTCCGGTACCGCGAGGTGTCACGACGATGCGAGTCTCCCTGTAATTGGAAGAAGATGAACAACACCAACAAGCCGGAAAACTGAAGAGGGTGCAGCCCGATGCGGTGGTAGCCTGCATCAACTTCACAGAAAACCATCGCTTGTGCGTCACGGACACTAAAAATGGTATGCATTTTCTTGTCGATACTGGTGCCAATGTGTCGGTTATACCAGTGACTAAAACTAACCGAAAATATCGTAATCAGGTCCAAATTAACTATAAATTATTTGCTGCAAATGGCACGGAAATTAATACATACGGTGTCGTAACATTAGAATTAAATTTAGGGCTACGACGCAGTTTTAAATGGCCATTCATTATTTGTGACGTAAGTAAACCAATAATAGGCGCAATTTTTTAAAATCATACCGAATATTGGTAGACTTACATAATAGGAAATTAGTAGATAATGTAACTGATTTGTGCGTTATAAGAACCATCGTAAACTATAGTAAGCCGACGATAAATAGCATTCAAGAATCGCATCCGTTTCGTGACTTGTTAGAGGAATTTTTGGATATAACAAGGCCCGCCTCATTTAAAGAAACGCCGCCGTCACACAAAGTCAGGCATCACATAGATACCATAGGACCGCCGGTCTATGCCAAGCCGCGACCTTTACCGCCGGAAAGGTACCAAAAGGTTAGGAATGAATTTCGCTATATGCAGGAATTAGGTATTTGTAGGCCATCCAGGAGCCAGTGGGCTAGTCCCCTACACGTCGTACAAAAGAAAGACGAACAGATACGGCCCTGCGGAGATTATCGTAGACTCAATGCAGTGACGAAACCAGATCGGTATCCGGTACCGAGGCTCCAGGACTTCACTTTTGGGTTGGCAGGTAAGACAATATATACACGCCTTGATATTAATAGAGTTTACCATTTTATTGAGGTTGCACCAGAGGATGTCGAGAAAATAGCCATTACCACTCCTTTTGGTTTGTATGAGTTTCCACGCATGATGTTCGGCCTGAAGAACGCAGCCCAAACATATCAGAGATTCATGGACAGCACGGTTCTGCATGGAATCGAAAATATCGGTAAAATAGGTAACGAATACGAGTCGTCACTTTTTTGTTACATTGATGATGTCATCATAGCGTCGCGAAATGAAATAATCCACCGAGAACATGTCCGAAAAGTATTTGAGCGATTCCACAGTATTGGGTTGACCATAAATCTAAGTAAGAGTTTGTATGGAGTGAACGAAGTTGATTTTTTAGGATACAAGGTTACTCCGTCAGGAATGAGCCCTGCCCAACAAGGTCAAGGCTATTCTGGACTATCCAAAGCCACAGACAGTCGACCAGTCCAGAAGCTTGAAAACGTTTTCCAATGCAGCGGTGAGGAGTTTCGGGGATATAACGTCACCCTGTCTTACACTTCTGCAATTGGATAGGTTTCGTACTCTGGTTCTGTACTCGGATAGCCATCTTAGCCCTACTGTACAAGCACTTCAGCACTTCGATATACCGACAGTCAACTTCGCACCGCTGAAGGGACTGCAGCACCGCCCAAATTTCGATAGAATCAAAGGCTTTCTCATAGTCCATATACACCAGACACAGTAGCAAATGGTACTCCTTGGACTTCTATACAATTTGCCGAAGGGTATGTATGTGGTCTATGGTGCTAAAGCCTTTTTGGAAACCGGCTTGTTCGGGAGGCTGGAAGTCGTCAAGTCTGCACGCGAGACAATTCTTCGGAATAGTGTCGGATAAGACTCGCTCTTGGATCGTTACTCACACTTGCGTGTGGCTCCAATGACGATGTACAGCTGCCCATAGAACCTCTCAATCTCACTTAAAATCTCAGGTGCCCCGGAAACTGTGCTGTCACTTTCGGTCTTCAGCTTTGACAGTTGGCTCTTTCTAGCAGAGAGATATCTGGCAAAGACTTTGGAGCCTTGGTTCCGCTCGATCGCTTCTTCAACACAAGCTGTATTGAAGTTGCGTAAGTCCCGCCGCAAAATCTGTCTATTCAGTTGCCTGTATGCTGCCAAATCTACTGAAGACTAAGGCTTCATAACCCGTCTAACAGCCATGAGATTAAGAGTGTACTCGGAGAGTTTTTGTGTTCTTCTGCGGCGGGTCTTGCGAAACTTAGCTCCGAACGCATGGACAGTTTCCACGAGCTTGTCATTCATATCATCCACTGCATTGCAAACTTCTAGGCACTGAAAACGGTTTCGTAGCTCGAGCTGAAAGGTTTCGGGACTTTGGATTAGAGCACAAGGGGGACGGAGCGTTGACTTCATTAGACGTGACCTCTCCAAGTTAACGTTTAGGTTCAGTGTGCCTCGCACCATTCGGTGATCGCTGCCGGTTTTCACCCTCGCGATCACTGAGACATCACTGAACAGTTGTCGTCTGATCGTCATTATGAATTCAATCTCATTTTTTGTCGAACCGTCGGGACTCGACCAGGTCCACTTCCTGTGGGGCCGCTTCTGGAAGAAAGAGTTTATCATAAAGAGTCCCTCCTTGTCCATGAAGTCAGCCAGCTGCTGGCCCCTTGGGTTCCGTTGCCCTATTCCGAAATTCCCTACTTTCAGCTCACCGTTCTCTCTTCTGCCTAGTTTTGCGTTGAAGTCGCCCATTGACACAGTATAGTGAGTTTTGGAGGAATGCATGGCTCTAGAGATATCCTCATACATATCCTCCACCTCCTTATCGGGGTGTGCCGAGGTTGGTGCGTAAACCTGTATGACCTTCAGTGAATACCGTTTGGTGATTGAGTTTGATGAGTATAAGGTACGCAACCCTCGTCGACACACTCCCAATCTTTACAACGTTGTTAACGAGAGACTTGTGGACGATAAATCCGACACCTCCTTGGGACAGATGGTCGCCCTCCCGGTGATAAAACAAATTGCCGGTTTCGAGGATTACCGTATTCTCCCCTCTCTTAGGACTTCGGATAATCCTATGACATTCCAGCGCAACTTGCCTATCTCTTCTTCCAGCTTCAGGATCTTCTCATCAGTCCTCAGGGTGCGTGCGTTATAAGTTGCCAGGTCAAGTCGTCGTAGGTGGCAACCGAACCTCCACCGGAGATTCTAAGCACCCCCTGCCCCGCCGTTACTATGGTCGCCACTGTAGGAAAGAATAGCGGGACCGCCGGGGACTGGAGGCCGTCTCTTCGTTACTTTCATGGGGGGTATATTGCCATAGTTGCCACGTTTGGCGAGCGGGTTGGCAACTGCAGTGTTTTATTGTTGTTTTTCTGTTATCAGAAAGAAGCTGCTGCCCATCTTTTGTCTCAGGTTCCCTCTGTCGCCTTTTACGACACCCACGGGAAGACATGGGGTAGTGAGTATTCTTACCCGCCACTACACGGGGTTGCCCATAAATCACGTTCAATTTCGGATATCTTCAAATAAATGCAGAAACCTTATTTATGGTATTTTTAAAACTGCATAAAGTGTAGTATTTATATTTCTACCCTAATTATTAAATTTGGAGAGTTTTTGAAAAATAACCCTGTATAGGGTGTAAAATTAAATCCATGACTTCTGAACTATTATGTGGAAATTACTTTATTCTTTTTATTTCTTTGATATTTTCTTTTACTTTTTATTAAAATACCAATTTTGACCCTTCTAAGTTCATAAAGGAATATCACAAGCTGTAATTAAATTAGCTCTCTCACCTCTCCACAGCAGCGGTGCATACTGCTGGTACAAAAAAAATTAGAATCTTTTAATTAAATATATTAATATTTAGTTTTTTACTTGATCTACGTCTAATAAAGTTTTCTTGTAATAACCACGTTTCGCTTTTATGGTGCGCTAATATAATTATTTTGCATTATATATAGTGCTCTAATTAATTAATTGGTCCATAACATATATACTAGTACATATACATGCACACCCAACACACGCGCATATATATATATATATATATATATATATATATATATATATATATATATAAATATATATTTATAATATAATCAATAGTACCTGATCAATTACCTGTGGCAGCGGTCCTTAATAGTTTTTGAGACAATTGGGATTACTCATAAATTAGAATTATATCAGCGTTATATCATTTTAATTAAACTTGACTCTATTTAATTAATGTGTTACAACTCTCACGACCTTGTCTGTGGGTTTTGGTAAAGCATTCTAATTAATGTCAGCGCCTACGCCTGCTGCTGGACTAAATCAACTATAACAATGACATTGCCAACATAACATCGCTTGGTTAACGTTACTCCTCTAATATCTAGTGCTTGTCTAATTGGTAAAATTAAGCAAACCTTTAAACACTCTTTAAAATCTAACATCATCATCATCATCATTACAGCCCTTCACAAGTCCACTGCTGAACATAGGCCTCCCCCAAAGAATGCCACAAAGCACGGTCCTGAGCAAGGAAATCGGTCTGTAGTTCTTCAAGAGAGCGTTGTCACCTTTCTTGAAGAACAAGACCACCGCACTTCTGCTCCACGCCTCTGGTGTAATGCCACCATGGAGGACGGAATTAAAGAGCTTCTGAAGGACTTCAAGTACCGGTCTTCCACCCGCTTTCAGAAGCTCCGCTGTAATTCCATCCTCGCCTGGGGCCTTACCGTTTTTAAGGTGCTGGAGAGCCATTCTAATCTCGCTCAGACTGACGTCCGGGATATCTTCGGAATAGTGTCGGATGAGACTCGCTCTTGGATCGTTACTCACACTTGCGTGTGGCTCCAACGATGACGTTTACAGCTGCCCACAGAACCTCTCAATCTCACTCAAAATCTCAGGTGTCCCGGAAACGATGCTGCCACATTCTGTCTTCAGCTTTGACAGGTGGCTCTTTCTGGCAGACAGATCTCTGGCAAAGACTTTGGAGCCTTGGTTCCGCTCGGTCGCTTCTTCAATACGAGCTGTATTGAAGTTGCGTAAGTCCCGCCGCATGCATTTGGAGATCTGTCTGTTCAGATGCCTGTATGCTGTCAAGTCTGTTGAACAATGTAGCTTCATCTCCCGTCTAACAGCCATGAGATTAAGAGTGTGATCGGAGAGTTTTTGTGTTCTTCTGCGGCGGGTCTTGCAGAACTTAGCTCCGACCGCATGGACAGTTTCCACGAGCTTGTCATTCATATCGTCCACTTCATTGCAGTCTTCTAGGCACTGAAAACGGTTTTGTAACTCGAGCTGAAAGGTTTCGGGACTTTGGAACAGAGCACGAGGGGGACGGAGCGTTGACTTCATTAGACGAGACCTCTCCAACTTAACGTTTAGGTTCAGTGTACCTCTAACCATTCGGTGATCGCTACCAGTTTTCACCCTCGCGATCACGGAGACATCACTGAACAGTTGTCGTCTGGTCGTCATAATGAAGTCAATCTCATTTTTTGTCGAACCGTC